GGGCCCGAGCCACGCCCACGTTGTAATGAGCCTGGAGCAAAAACTAAACAACTTCAAAGTGGACAAAGGCAATTACTTTGCCAGGTGTCAAATGTGTTGGTGCGTACGAGTGTGTGTATGTATGTGTGTTCTTAGGATGACGACAGGTGAGTCCGTTGAGTACCTGTACCCGGTCAAAGTCTATAATTAACAAATGATTAATTATGCATGACTTTGGCGCCTTCGCTCGTTATCAACACGCCCACATCACTTTCGGACCCCCTCATCTCGTGCCCCCACCAGCGTCGTCTTTCCAGTCGACGTGTGTTTCCTGTCCCACCTTTGTAGTTTTCCACAAAACTTTTCGTAGCCTTTGATTCATTAACATTTTGGCCATATGACTCTGCAGGCTTTTCTCTATATAAAGCTCCAACTCAGGTCCAATATGTAATAGGCCTAATGGCCTGGCCTGGTTTACGATTGCGTCTTGTTTTGCATTTGGTGGTCGTCTTATTTACATAGAACATGAGAGCTGGCATAATTTGCATACAATTGCAACAAGTCTTAGGAGTTGGCCAACAAGTATTAGAGATGGAACTCTGTTTAATGTAATGAATATAAATACAAGATTGTACTAATGGAAATCTGCCCCAGTAAGCTCCATCACGTTCTTACTTTGGTCTTTTAAATAATGTCTGGGCCTTTATAGAGATATAATATAAAGTGTTATCCATTTTTTTGTAGACCTATTCTAGCTAACAAAGCTTTAAAAGCAAGACTAGTAGAAAATCACGATCACATTCCCATCTCCATGCCTATTGCGAAGACCCTTGAGAAAGACATAATCAACGTGCCACTGGGAAATACGCTGCATGCGGTTTGGGCCAAGTTGACACTACTATGTCAGCCCGTTCCGTTGCAAGTCGGGCATGCAGGCATTAGACTATGGAGGTTAATTTGACTGGGGCCCGCCGTTTGTGTTCTCTTCTGTACTATTCCACCGCCGTTTTCTCCAGCAGATGAATCGCCGCGGGCTGTCTCGGACACAATGGCGAGCACATTGCTCTAATGCTACAATGGTGCAACAAAAGACAAAGGATAAGGCTGAAGTATATTTGTTCCTGCGGCTGAATGCATGTTTTCAAATCTTACAAGCCAAGTCTGGGGACTGTTTTGTATTCCTATCCTCATTCTGAGCCATGCAGTGTATATCGGGCAATAAAACGTCTTCCACTTGTAAGTTCCAGTTCGTTCGCTTTAAGGGGCAACGTTGCGTATGCGCAATTATTAAATGCAGCATAAGGCCATTTGGCTGGAGAAACACGATGCAAGTGAACTTAATTGCTGACAGTGATTTCATTTTCCAGTACTTTAAATGTTGTGTCAATGTACATTGATTTTTCATTACTATTAACATTTACTTGTGTCACTAAAAAAGCAAATGAACTATGCAAAAAATCGAAAAAAGTGGAATTGGGGAATTTTCCGCAGCTCCCTTTTTAAATATTTTTTAAACCATTTATTTCTTACCAACCTCAAATTAGTGTGATGCACGTTGCACTGCCAGATCGATAAAAGCGTACTATTTGAAAATCTTTTCACTCTTCATTAGTGGCAACTATAGTCTTAGCCGGCAGCTAAATCTTTTATGGCCGGCCACCGCAAAACAAGTTTCGGCTCGTTTTTAAACAATTTTTCGGCTTCTTGCCCAACATTTATCGGGGCATGCAAATCCGATAACAGCCAAAATAAAAAACCAGAGGGAGATGTAAAGAGGATAATAAAAATCGACAGCATGCGGCGCAACAACGGTCAGTCCACAACATCACCGGATGCACTAAAATGGGGAAGGGTTTCGATGGGTAGGGATCGGTTTTTGGGGTTTAAGCTAAGGGTTGATTGCTGCCGGGCCCTGTGACTGAAACAAACCGATGTTATCCCCATTTCCCCCTTGTCCACGATGTCTCAATTCAGTTACTTTACTGGTGTTGCTGTCGCCATTCAAGTCCATGTCGATGTCTATATAGGTATGTGTATTCCTTTAAAAAAAATGCACTTTAAAAAATGATTATGGAAAGTCATTTCTTCTTAGTTAATATTATAACCAACCTTTTTCTATTAAATAAGTAAATATTATTTTAAAAATCTTCAAAATACTGAGTATTTTAAAACAGAAACCCTTGAGCAAAAATATAATATTTTTATTAGTGCAGTTGTCGCGGAATTTCTGGATGGTTCACTAATTTGATTTTTTGTACAAATCGCCAAAGAGAGTTGGCTTTTATTTCGTTATCGAGTTTTGTTTGTTAACGCTTAGCTTTGCAAATTTTACGCCACAGCTAAACCCATTCCTTCGCTTACATCGAAAACAATTTTGATCGCTTCTGCAGTAACAGTGCGACAAAAAAATTTGCATTCAATGTCAATTTATGCAAATCTCATTGCCCAACCTCGCGGATGCACTGACTGCCGAAAGACAAGACAAAACTGTGGCCAATTGTCGGGTTATATGCTAATTATGCCGCCATTGCATCTAACGAAAATACTCGGAAATAAGCCGTGGCGGGCATAGAAAAATTTAATTCTATTTGAATTACTTTTCGGTGGGCCGGGAAACGACAGGAATAAGTTGTGAGAGCGAAGGGGAAAAAAATTACAGGAAAATATGAATGGGTCGACCGGTCAGGCCGAGAAAGTGAGTGCTCTCTGCTCTGGACGTGGCCAACAAAACGAACAATAGAGCGTAAAATAAGTGCAAAGGCAGCGGGTAGTGGGCAGCAGCCAGCAGGCAGGAGGCAGGAGGCATCGTTTAGTGAAGAAAAAAAACTTTGCCAACGCGCAGAAAATTCAACGAAATGAAAAATGAACAAAGTGCCCTAATGGCAAGGCACACGGCCGCTTGTACTCATTTCAAAAGAGTGCAAAAAAAAATATATAAAAATAAAAAAAAGGGATTTCCCCCTTCTCGGAATGAAAGAAAACGGCAGCCAAGAGCTTCAACTGAACAGTTAAACTTCCATTAATTGTACGCCCGGTCAGAGCCACGTGGCCAGACTCCTTCCGTTGGCAATCCAATCGCATTTCGCTGCCACTCGCACTGTGCCAACTGTGTCAGTTTCAAATTACAAATGCACGAACTGCTTGCCCAAACAGGTCAGCCAGCCTGCAAATTCGCGGTGAATTGTGAACTGGAACGAAACTTGAAAGTCAAGAGGGAAGCGGTGCTGGGCCGAAACGGCAGAGCCAACTGGCAAATCAATTAGATGATTGTATCATTAGGAACAAAAACATGCGCCCAGCAGGAAATTAACCAACATTTGGGCAGCTAATTGGCTGCCTAAATGGCTCAAGCTGCTCGTGTGGAAATCCATTGAGAAGCCCGGCTCACAATCCCGGCTCCAATGAAGCGCACAGCGTAAAGTGTCCTCGGCCACACTTCATTGAAGGCTGTCAAAAAATTTTCAATTTACCAAATTAGTTGGGACCTCCGGACCGAGCCTACCCAACAGATGTGTGTGCTCAGAAATGGGGAAGATCCTGGGATCCAGGAAAAGAAATTAGTATTAAGTGAAATGTAATGATGACAACGCCAACTGAGAATCGCCAGCTGACAATAATGAGCTATCCTGGCCGGCACAAAAGATTCCGTTCCCTAATCCCCTTCCGACAATTACAGAAAATTTCGAGTAGGCGAGATGGGGGAGAAATCGTTGGCGCAGCTAAGCGCATTTTTTAAAGCAAACTTTTCACTCAGGCGGCAGAGAAAAATGAAAATGGAAACCAATACGCATAAATAATAAAAAGAGCATTAAAGGAGGGCGCAAGTGAAAACATAAATCATTGACTCTGAAATGAAAAGCTTTGCGCAACAAGTCGTCGAAACAATAAAAAACCAAAGTCCCACCCCTAAAAAATAAACCTCAACCTCGAGCGCCAGAAACCCAACACTGTCGGTTCCAAAGGTGGCGGCGAACATTTGACCGACAGCAATGAAATATATGTTAAATTGAAAAAAAATTAGAATTAATGGCTCTGGAAATATAACGCCAGCGGAAGGGATTCCGGGCAACTGGCAAAATGAAACTTAAAGCCGCAACAATAAGAGGAAAATACATCATAATGAATTAGTATTTGTATGGGCCCTGCAAGGCTTAACTTTTAATAAAATAATTCCTAAAATAAATAAAGAAAAACAATTATTTATTTTACTAACATATATGAAAAAAGTGATTGATAAATCGGAAATATAAATAAAAACGCATAATAAATAGAGCTGATCCGCTTTAGCAATCAGGAGCATCTCTAAGCTTTTAACACATTAAAATATATATTTTTATAACCTTTTATTTTATTATCTTCTTGAAGGGATTTGCTCACTTTATTCAGTAAAAGCGCTTTAATAATACTTGTTTAAAAAAAAAAACACATTAAATTTGTGTCAATTTGGTTTATTTCTATAAAAGATGTTTATGCCAAATTCAAAGTGATTGATGTCCAATAAAGGCATTAATTTTTGAACACCGAAACGTGACATTTTTTGTACATTCTCAGGTCGAAACTAATGACTCTTTTAGTCCCCGACCACTTTAAACATTTATTTTAAATGTTTTTGTTCCATGGGACTGCACTCTTTGACCTGCAAATGGAAAGCAAAAAGCGCAAAAAGGCAGCTTGCATGTTAATGTTGCGATGTAACACGCTTGTCGGCGGCGTCAACAAGCTTGGCGAAGTTTACGCATAATTTTATTTACACGCGGTCACAGCCACACAGCCGTACACACCTTTACAATGAATATAAACTATGTCACAGCCGAGCTCTGTGTGCCGTGCGTATGTGTGTGGGTGGCGACTTTTTGTGGCCCGGTTTTTACTTTTTTGCAGCACACTTTTCAGCGCATTGAGCGTTTCCCTTTTGCCAGTCGACAAATAATTGAAAGCCCAGCTTGCATGCACAACTCGTCTACGTTTATTATTATTATTACTCGACAGCTATTGAAAAACTGTGAAAAACTGAGCTACCACATATACATAAATAGTGCGGGGTCAGCGACGGGTTAATCAGAGAACGGGTTCAGCCAGGCGTTCAAGGCAAGAAGTAGTGCTGCAAAGAAAGGATGCATTTTTGGTGGGCAGTTCTTTTGAGGTAAGCTCACCTTGGGATCGGCCTTTTTCCAGCACTGATGGAACCACCAGGCCTTGTGGCACAACGTGTCGCCTTCGGGATGAACGCAGTTCTGCGACATTTCCATCAATTTCTCTCGCATCATGCGAGGCACTGTCTCAAAGAGTTTCTCCAGGTGAACATCTCCATTTTCGTCCACGACTTCGATTTCGTGGAAGAAACAGTTCATGTAGCACTTGAGCTTCTCGTCCTCATGAATCTCGCCTTCGCTGAATTCCTTGATGGCCTCTAAGAACGATGTACAGAAGAAGAATATTAATTTTAAATAAATCAACTGTTTAAAACTCATTTTAAATATATGTCTGGTAGTCGATATTCATTCGATATCTGCAATTATGGCGGCCATCAGTCGTGTAATACCCACCCTCGGTAACGCCTGTTTTCTCCACACACGAGTCATGGAAGGGTTTGGCCATTTTCAGGATGCCCGGCGGTGGATACTGCAATTAAAAATTGTTGCTTAAGTGGGCGTGGCAGTGCAGCCGGGCACTTCATTAACCCACGTTCTCGTCACGCTGCGCGACAGCCGGCGGCAGGATCAGCGCTCCGCTGAGCAGCGACAAGGCGATTAAAAGGACAGACCGACCAAAGCCATTCAAAGCCATTTTAATGTGGCTCGCTCCGTTCCCTTTTGGGCTGTCTGCGGGAAACAGCAAAAATGGTCCAACGAATGTTCGGCGTTGTTTGCAAGTTCTGAATAAAAAACAAAAAAAAAATAACCGGAAAAAAATACGAGAAACGTGAAACAAAAGCGACGATGCATAACAGAGTACACGGTCCAGGACGGGTACAAGCCTCGGAAGGACAAGAATGAGAAGCTCAACAAGGAGGCGGATGCAGATGCTCTTGACGACGATGTGCCACGCGTGACAGCTGGACAATAACAATGTGTGTGTGGATGTTTGTGAGTGCAGTGAAAAAAATTAGATATGGTTTGTTTTATGGCATTTAGGTTATATAATATTAATTATTAATATTTTTATTGATGTAAAAGCTACTCGGGACTCTTTACAAGTCACGAAAGTGCAAGAAGTTATATTTTAAAAGTTATATTCGAATAAAATCAAGGAATCCTGGAGTTTTCATCACCCAAATTTTTATTCAAGTGTTCAGAGTATGTATGGGTTTTTTTCTAGGCCCTAACATTTTTCCTTCCTATACCATTTTTTTGTTAAATATTTTTTTGTTTTGTATTTTTGGAATCCGTGAGGAAACGAACAAAAAATCATTTGTTTCTTGCCAGCTCAGCGCACGCTAAATTAATTCCTACCGCTGATGGCCGAACAAAAAGCGACCGCCAAAACGGAAGCGGAACTGTGCCCGAGATGTCAGCGAAGTCGTCACAAGTCTACAATTGTCGTGTTACGTCTGACAAACACATGCCCACGTGGCATGCCCCACGCCCCTTTAACCATCCGGCCCACTCATTCCGGGCCATTCTTCGCCCAGGTCGACTGTGATATATTGCCTAGCTAGGGATTCAAGGATTCCTTATGATGTATGAAGAATGGCAATGGAAATTTTCCACAATTTAAATGAATTTCACATCTATGTCATAAGCAAATGAAATGGGAATTGGGAGTTAAATGACAAGATAACATTTTTCTAATTTAAAATAATATCAAAATTTACAATATTATATTCTTGTACTTTTTTTAAGAAAACGTTTAATTTTTCAGGCTTTTTAATTCTTTTAACTTACTCATCTGTAATTTTAGATTAAAGTTTATGTTTTTGAATAAAAAAAACATATTTCATTTTGGAAAAATATGTCTATTCTTTGAAGAAAAATGTATTTTATGGCACACAGTCCCATCACAGCCGCACTTAGATCGGATGCCAGAGTGTAAAAATATAAAATTTCGCATTCGCCCGCTTCTTTTGAAATTGTACAACCGAAATACACAAAACAAAGACTTCAACTTGCGCACAACTGTCACTTTTGTTTCATCAAATGTCAACACAGCAACCGAAACAAAGCCACAAAACGACATTCGCCCCTCCACTGAACTCGCCCAGTCCCACAAATATGGAGGACGAATGAAATTACAGCAAAGGCACATTTTTGTTGTTTGAGTTCGAGTATGAATGTTGTATGTTGAATGTTTTTGTACGTATCGCACAGTTGTGTGCGGCATGAACGATGGATGGTTTTTTAATTGCCATTTCAATTTTCGTGTTGCAACGCGTCGTTTGCCTATGCTTGGGCAACCTTCGACCCCCACATTCGACTTCGTCCTGGCCAGGCCTTGTCCTTTTTCACTCCTTTACCCAGCTTTGGTTCCAGTTCCAGTTCCTGTCTCTGTTCCTGTTCCTGTTTCAGGCAGTTGGCAGGCAGTCTTTTACCCTCCGGTTGGCTTTTAGTAGTTATACTGGGGGAAAAATTCGATACTGCACACACGCCACGCAAGAATTGTTTGACAACCGCAGTCACAATTGAATTTGCTTTATTGCCGTTTGCAGCGTTTGGCTTTTATATTGATTTTGGCCAAGTTCTGCCTACCGGCTGACGTTCACAAAACCTCAGCCAGTTATCGGGCCAATTGACGTTTCATGCCAATGCCAATGCGAATGCGAATCCGAATGTCTCTATCCGGCATGGCATCGCCCATATTAGTGTGCGTCCAACTTTCAAAGGCCACGCCCTCTGGCGTGTCTTTAATCATTAGGTGGAAAATTCCCTACCACTGGCCCTACACAAATGCCAATGTTTTGTGGGTCAAATACTGCTGCTAAATCAACTTCCGAGGCAGACGGAGCGAAAGAAATGCAGAAACGAAAAGTTCCCAGCCTGCAAAGTAATCATGGCAAGGCAATCCCCACAATAGCTTTTGTTGGCCATCGTTCAGGCTAGACTTTCAGGTTTACAGAGGGTTCCTTTTAAGTGGATATCCACTTGAACTTGTTCGAATGATTGCTGCTGCCAAAGCGGCATTATCTAAACGGCCAACAGGTAAATGCATCTGAATCAGGCCATTTGAAGTTTTCAGCAAAGAGATTCGGCCAATTAATTCCCGAATGTATTTGCAATGAAATTTTCCTATTTTTGAAACACTACACTAACCAATAGTAGATTATTTTAATCCCCAAATCGAAATATACTTTCAAATGATATAAGGACTTAATTTTTGTTCTCGATTGCTATTCTACATTATGTGCAACCATTTATTTTTATACGAAATGGATACAATATTTAATAACCTTAAATCTGCTGAAGTTCTCTGATTAAGTATTTAACCGCACTATTTTAAATATATAAGCTATGAAGCTTAGACCAAGAAATAATGGACGGGGTCCGCCTTCTTCCAGCACTGATGGAACCACCAGGCCTTGTGGCACAAAGTGTCGCCCTCTGGGTGAATGCAGTCCTTCGAGGCGTTGATCATCATGTTTCGCAGCTTTTCGCCAGGAATGGCATTCAATAGCTTCTCCATATGCACATCTCCATTGTCATCGACGACATCAAATTCATGGAAGAGACAGTTCATATAGCACTTGAGAGCTTCGTCCTCGTGAATTTGTCCATCGCTGAATTCCTTAATGGCCTCTGGTAAGATTAGAAATTATATTATTGTTTTAACTCGGCGATCAAGGAACTTACCATCTGTAACTCCAGTTTTGGGGGCACAAATATCATGGAAATGCTGAGCCATCTTCAAAATAGCTGGCGGTGGCCACTGAATGAAATACATCGTTTCTAAGGAATAGAGAAATAATAAAATATTCGACACCTACCTCAGCATCTCGACGGGGTGCCTGGGCAGCCGCAGAGCCAAGCAAAAATATGAAAATAGCCAGGTTCTTAATCATTTTGAAATCGAAATGAACCGCCTGTGGTCCAAAGACGGCCCTTTTATGAGATCGCCAGATAGTCAATTTCAATTCGCCATCAATATGACTGTCATTAGAAACGCATACTAATTACAGGTTGCCAGTTTGGTATCAATTGAGAATGAATCCACCATTTGGTTGCACGCAAAACTGGCAGATGAATAAATGACAGCCCATACAGAGCGGCAATTGATTGCAAAATGCCAAATGGAGAACTGAAAACTGGAAACATACAAATTAAGCAATGATTGTATCTGGCTGGGACCTGCAATTTTCAGAGTGTCATCCCGACACGCAGTATTGGTTCATTCGGTACTGAGCTGTATTTTATTCCCGCCCCAAATACTTTATACTATATTTTTTGTGGGCGTTGCTGCACGCAGCCATTACAGGTGGGAAAACATGTCATAAAAGTCAAATATCGCTCTGAAAAAAATTTGTGTCAAATTTGATTCAAATTGCGTTTTCTTTGACACGTCGGCATCAGCATATTTGGCGTAGACAATAGTGAAATATTTGAAATGCTCAACCTAACTCAATTGCTTTGAAGCTGGTTACTGAGAGTTTCAATCAATCAACTTGCAGTAGCTATAACAGAATTATTACCTTGAAGATTGACAAATTTTGTACCTTTCCGATAAGGCAACCAAAATTCAGACTCAATTTTTTCAATTTTTCAAAGGGGTAAAATTGCGATTTTGTCCATAAATTCATGCAGAATTTAAATTCCTTAAGCCTGAAATAAATTAAAGAAAAGTAGACTCAAAAGTTGCAATTTGGTCACGCCATGGCTATAGCTTGGTCAGCACTGTTATCGGGTCCATTATTTTCTGGAATATGGCCATAACTTGGCTAAAATCTAAAACTTGCCGTCCTGATTTCATTTCTTCGGATGAGATCTTATCTGATCTCCTGATTTCATCTTTAAAATCGGATTTTAGTTCACGATTTTTTGAATATATCGGAAAAAATGTTATTGGTCGTACTTACATAGATCCAAAATAATGGGGTTTTTAGCCTTTATTCAGAAAGGGTATTTCTTTTTCAAATTGGTTGTAAAATTACCTAGATATGTTGTGTCAAAAATTTTAAACAACATTCATATTTTCCAATATTTGTCTAGCCCAAATGCCAAACATCGCAGCTGAAAAACCTAACCGAGATTTGATTGACAGGGTTTTCTTCGATATATTTTTTAATTAAATTATAAACTAATTGGCAAACTTCAAGCCTTGCTTGTTTTTTGAGCTACCTCTTTTCTCTTTCTTTTTCCTTTTTTTTTATGGTTTCGTGGCAAACACATTTCCGAGCCATAAACATCAATCAGCCATGAAATCAAAGCAATTTCTATGCGCTTCTGCAACACTCATAAATGCATTTGCATCCATGGAGCTCGTGACCCGATGCACCCAGCAGCAACTGCACCAGCAACATAAACATCAATTGCAGTTGCAGTTGCCATGGGGAGGATGCGGAATATAATTATAGAAAAGCAGCTCGCTTGCAGCTGCCTGGCAGCCACATATTAATTTTATTATGACGCCATTAATGCTTGTCGATGCATAAAATTATAGATGCTCTCTTTAGATAGCGCTAATTAAATAATTAAATATGCTTTAGGTCATTGCTAGTGAGTCGATTTATGAGCGCCATCGGTCAGGCGCGACAATTATGCAATTCCAGATGGCGAAATAAAAATATTTTTTTTCAGTTTTTGTTCATTACCAGTTTTGCTTGTTTTTGGAGTTTATATGCCCCAAACGTTGTTATACTAATAAGCCATAAAGCCATAAATCCTAAATAACCTCTAGTGGATTCCAGTTTGGATTCCCCAATCTTCCCTGAAGTAATTCATTATTATCCCCTGCCAAGAATCTCCTGCAGCAATTCTTTTCTTTGCTCTTATTTTACTTGCAATCTTTGGAATTAATCCCAGATGCAAGCTTCATTGGAGTTCAAGAACACAGGAGTAAACCTCTTTAAAATTATTACCTTACCATATAAAAGATAATTCAACATAAATATTATATTCCTATGGATATGAATATAGGGTCTGATAGAAAAAAAGGTTAATTTTTAATTAAAACTTCTTTAGTGATCATATTCATCTTGCAGTGCAGTGTCCCCTTTTGAATTTTTGAAAGATTAGAACTAAAGTACTCAAATGAACAGATGATGTGGCAAAACAAGGTGAGCTAGTTTTTCATTATTGCCTTAAAGGAAATGAAAGTTTTTACAACACGCCCTTTTAAAGAAATTGAGTAAAATGACTATATCAATTGGATTTTGAAGATTGTTTTGGCAAAATAATCTTTTTTTATATTTTAATCCGACAAAGCTGTTTGCTTTGGGAATGCCCGAAGGGGTTGGTATACAAGAACGACTGACTAAACCGGAGGTAACACGTGACATCGATAGGAGACTCAAGGCAATGGAATGGAAAAGCAGAAGCTTAAGCAGTTGTAAGCTGGCCATCGATGCACGTGAGTGGCAGGGATGTCAGCGACTTAGTGGCTCAGCGGCAATCACGTGCCAAAGCAAATTGAAAGACTTATGACCGCTGCCAAGTGGCTTTCATAACAGGAAGCGCTTAAATTAACCTCCAGCAGTTGCCAATCAAATATCGCTCTCAGAGGCGCGAAAATGCATAGTACGAAAGGAGGCCCCCAATAATAAGCATACGCCACGTGGGACAAGAGGTCAAGTTGGAGAGCGGACACTGAAAAAAAGGATCCATTTAAAATAGCTTGATTAGGAATAGGGACAGCCGTTTTTAGGATCTATTTTTTTCAGTGAAACATTGCAAAATGACCGAATGCCATGAAACAATAGACGAACTTGGGGCAACAAGTTAATAGCACAACAAAGCAGCTGAAACACAACACACGCATAGTGCCATTAAAAATAATGCTAGCCAAAACACCGACACTGCCGCTCCTCCCCAAAATTCCTTGAGCACCATCATTTGTCGCACACGAAACGCGTTAATTATGGCCATTGCAGTTTTCCCCACTTTCCAACCCACTATCCAACCCACGTGCCCACCCACAGCATTCATTAATTACTATGCAAGCTAAGCGCTCGGCAAAAGTTTTGGACAGGGCCTCTCGCCTACTTTGACATGCAAGCGCAAAGTGTCAAATTAATTTTTAATCGCTGCCACCCGAATGCTGCCAAATAATAGATTTAGATGGGGCAAGGGCAGTGCGTTGTAATTAAAGTTTTCGTCTGGCATCTGCCGGCCAGAATTTAATGCAAATTGCCAGCAAGAGGTCAACTCATTTAAGTTGGCATGTGTGTGCGCTTGTATATGTGTGGGTCTAGTCCTTGTCCTCTGGGTCCTTTACTTTCTGCGTGGTACACGTGGAGTGCATTAAATTTCCAAAATTGTTGTAATTAGGTATATTTTTTTGGGAAGAAAAAATACTGGCTATGGTTGCGGAGAAAGAAGATTGTGATGTATGTATGAATGGTTCAAAAAAAATATAATATATTTTTTTAAATTATTAATTAAAAAAAATTATTTCTTTCAAAGCTACTAGACTGTTTCAAGTTGTATGCCTTCCATGATTTATATTTCTTGAATTACTCGGTATCTTAGGGTCGGAAGACTCTACAAACCCTCCATGCCTCCATAACCTCCATCCTTTGTTTGACTTTGGCTTAGTCGCTATCATCGCCAGACAGCAACACCATCAGCATCCTGTCAGCCACCCTGGGCCATAATAACGCACTTTAATGCAGCGCCAAGCATCCGACAGCCATCTATTGGCATTTGACACTTGCAAATTAAACGCTCGCAGGCACCTCCAACTCCAGCTCCAGCTCCAGCTCTAGTTCCATCTCGAGCGCCAATAGTAGAATACATGGAAGTGAATCCACGGACTGTAACATTGGCTACACAATTTATTGACACCTTATTTGAGAACGCACACAAAACGGCAGAACTCGTTTTGCGGTTTGCACATGCAATTTACATGTGTAATTTTTTGGGAGCGGCCGGGCATGAAAAGTTGCCGCTCATCGTCAGAACGTTGGACCGCAGGACTAGGGCCCCCAAATGACAGCTGGTCGACAACTTCGTTAAACGAACTGCATTCTGGTCAGAATGTACACATGAAGAAACAAGTGTTGGATATATAACAATCTAACAAGATATGCGGTTTCTGACATATTGGCTTTAGGTTGCATTTAGAATCAATTTCCTTCAGTGTGTAGTTTGTCCGAGTTAGTGTGCAATGTATGGTCTCCTTTTTGCTGTTCGACATAATCGATTTACTGTTGGCAGCATTGTGGAACTCTGTTCTACGCATTTCATCAAAGGCCCTCCATCCACAGAAGGACACTTCTCCGGTTGTATAACCAGCTCCAATGAATTATAATTAATGATTGCGGCTCGAGCAGCGGCTTAGCATTTGAAATTTATAGCGGGGCCACTTGGAATTGCCTGGGCACAATAAATTTAAATTAGTACTAGGCAAAGCAAAATACACACAATAAATAACTGGGCAAGGTCAACGGTCCAAGGGATCCGCAGCCAAAGTCTTCGGGCCATTTGAATTTAGTGGCGAATTTAATATTTTTATTGCCACTCATTGTTGCTCTGATTATTATTTATGCTTGGCGGGATAGGATGTGTTGGCTACAAAAAAAAAAATGGCTCAAAGCCCGTCAAAGCTTTGCCCACAACTTGCATCATTAACATATTCACAGTCTATTAATTTACGGAGAGCGTGTCGCAGTAGCCATGGCACTTCCCCCGGCAGTCTCAAGTCACCGAGCCATCATCAGCATCAACATGAAGCCCATTCTCGGTGGCTAGTTCACCCTCTGGGCACATAATTAGAAAGTTTTGCACTTAAATGCAAGTTGAGCATGCGGGCCACTCGAATGAAAGCATTAAGCCAAAGTGCAAGCCAAGCACACATTTGAAAATTGTGCTATAATAGCTGTGTATGAACCGGCAAGGGAAATGGAGCT